AAAGTAATATCTGGATTCTCATTTTCTGAAAAAATATTTTGTGTTTGTTCAAATTTAAGCTAACCCATGATAGTCATGAATATTTAGGTACAAAAAAGAAATCAGCTTGTAGTGCGCTTTTAGGATGGACACCAACTCAAGGTTCATTGAGTATGTTGAATTATCGTATTTTGAATATATTTGATCAGTTTATCAGTTTAGTAGAATAAGGCATAACTCGTGTTTGTCGTCGTGTGTTGTGTCTTCATACTAGAAACGTCTCTTCCATACTAGAGTAGTCACATTTCAGCTAATCTGGGTCACTTTAAACGCCTTCTACATACATAACTACATTGTTTATTTGCCACTGTATATAACGTAAGTATTTTTTTGATTCCAATATGTTTCTAAATACGTTTATGTGTATGTAAGTTTAGTATGTAAGTCTCTAATGATGATGAAGTTTGTAAGGCCCTTCAGACAAGTTACAGTCTAACTGATTTCCATTCAACGCGCTACATATGTGTATGTGTGTATGCTGCGCATGCGCCAAAGTATTTTTGATATTCTACAAATTACATGCCTACAAGTACAATATAGTATAATTTTGCTAATTTCTTCAAGTCCTCTAATAATAGCGGTTTTCTCACCGAATTCTCGCTAAATGTTTTACATTCGGCATGCTTTGGGTGTGTGGGGTATGTGCGGTGTGTGCGGTGTTGTATATTTCGTATATATATGTCTAGTTGGGTTAAATAATAGTTTTTGCGCTTGACTGAAATGCTTTGTTCAATAAATGCTCATACATTGCTGGCTCCATTTTGCGTTTTTGAATTTTTTATATGTACATACAAACATTTTAACTCATTTTGTGTAAACTCCAATTTGTTGTGGTGTGGTCTATGATTATATCGATATCATTATACACACATATAAGTCTATGTGTACCTATATTGATATTTATTATATGCTTCCAATAAACACTTGTGTGCATATTCATTAATACTCCTCCTCATTCATAGGCTGTCACAGCCGACTACTCGGCATGAGAATATCTACTCGGTTCCGCTCTTTGGTATTTAAAATATAATTGATATGACAAGTTTAAGCTGCATTTTATTGCACAATAAACTAAACTGCAATGCTCCGCTTTCTCTACATACATATTCTATGGATATGTAACGGAAGTTTGCACTCTTGGAGTGGAGTACTCATGCATAATGGCAAATGAAAAATGAGTGTGAGAAAATCAATTATGTGAGAAATGAAAAATGTAATCAAGTGCGCTCATTAAATTAGGCTTTTATTTACTACAAGTACATGACAGAGGAAATTAATTTAGTTGTATATACATTGTTAATTATTATTAAGTTATTTGCAACATGGCAGTGATGTCTTAGATTTAAAATTTTTCTCTAAACACTTACATATATTTGCATTTTGATAAACGAAATACTCTGTAGCATTAATGACGTAAAGTAAATTAACAAACTCTATGTGAATCCATGAATGCAGTTAGATTAACAACAAAGTAATGTATGCATATATAGAAGTATGTACATAACGGACCAAATCAGACACTTGACGAAGTTTTCTTCATTCTTATCTTCTTATGAGGTTTTGAGTTTAAGATGTATACTGTTAAACTATGATAACTGCTATGTTATGATATAACCATGCTGATTTATGCCATTTACGAGAGAACACTGATGAAAGTGACAAAGTTCTGGTTGTAAAAATAAATACAATCTTTCAACAAACATTTATTTTCTTTTAGCTTCTACGTTACTTTGCCTTGAATTTGATACAGTTCTAGAATAATATAACTAGTACAGCGGTTAATCTATAACTACTATGTTACTTTCTGTAATGTTCGCTGTCATTGTTTCAAAAACGTTTCTATATCATATGTTCAATTTCCTAGATTATACTTTCCCGGCTTCTGTGTGTACCAAGCCTCTTAAACCATTCCGATGGCTCACAAATATAAGTAAAATGAAGTTTTCAATACCTCTGGTTATACTGGAAATGATTACCTTCAAAAGTAAATGTGTTTCTACCTCTCTTTCTCTCTCTTCCTATTGTCTATATTTATGCAACAAATGGGACAGCTCTAAACTAGTCCAACTCTCATGTAATAAATTATATCCTCAAATACTATAGCAATCGAAGCTATCAAAACTTTTTCCGGCAAAAAGAGTAGCATAACTCGCTGTTTTCCTTCTATGTCAGAGGTACATTCGTTTTATATTTAATTTAAGCAGCATTTTTAAAATTATCCTACATTTTCTGACTAGAATGCATGCAAAGTCGGAGAAATTGAGACCGCAAATTGCCAATTCAATTTGAACAAGCACGGAACAGCTGATTACAGACAGTTGTATTGCGAATTATTCGAAATATTGGAAACAATAACTCAGATAAAGTTTAACATTTATTCCAAAAATATTTACTGGACATTTGGAATTTTTCATTTGTATTGCAAATGGATTCGTTTTTCAAACGTGACTTTAGCTATGCAAAAGCATCTGCAAAAGTTCATCTTTGCGGCATTTGTAAGAGTTTTTATTGGACTTGGTCCCATGAGAATTGATGCGGTAAGGCTAAACAGCTTGGCGAACGCAAGTTGTCAAAGTTGTATTGAGGAAGTGTGGTGGAAACATCCATGCACTTTCTCCTCTATTGTCCAGCCTTTGCAAGACTGAGGTTAAAACATCTCGGCAGTCTTACCTTCGGCAAACCAGTAAACATAGCCGCGAGGATTTTATGATCAATTATATAGGGGTTTTAGGCCCCACAACAGACTGGCGTTCTAAGCTATTTAAGTAAGACCCATGTTAATATCGACATCTTAACCTAACCTAATGCACCCCCCGCACAATGAACCAAATCTGTCTGCAAAACCTTACTCGAGAGAGTCGTATTATGTACCATTCGGAACTGTATATTGAGTTTTTTCGTATCGCTACATACATACTTATATATATTTTTTTATTAGTTGGCAATTATCTAATGAAAATAAAATTGAATTCACGACACTAATCTAAAGATTTTGTGAAGTGTTCTTGTTTATGTGCTCCACAACGTTCCAAAAGGTTCCTTTTACTATGCGCCAATATCGTACTATTGATTATATATTTATTATCATTAATATTATATTATTATTATTGTTGTTATTTTGCTTTTGTAATGCGTTTATCTTATCATTTGAAACTGTACGTTTGTATTTATGACTGTGGCGAATTAAGGTTTTATACTAAATGCATGTATGTATGTATATTATTATTCAACACTATACTATTTACATATATATACACAATATGACTGAACTTGATATTATTTCTATAATATTGTTATTTATTTATATATTAACGAGAGAGAAGCCAGAAATTTATACAATATGTATGTATGCATGTTAAGCAAACAAAATAAACATATAGAAATTTAAGTGGTCTAATGACGTTTGTAGGATAATAGACCGTGGATAAACGTTTAGTTTAATTAAAAAAAGATAAATTTAGTGGATTAATCTTGCCGAATTGGCTTTAAATGTGAAATAGACGCACGACAAACGGGTTCGATTTGGACTTGCAATTAGTGTTGTACACATATGCAGCTATTTAACGGTTAATTACTTCTATTGTGATAATGTATAATCGTATAATGGCATATATGTATGCATGTATGCATCGGTAGCCGAATATGATATTTGAATGCATTGAAAAGAGGCAAGTATCTAGTTAGTTAATTATACATACATATATATATATTTATATATAAGTAATATTGTACATAAGTGTGAGTAGGCGTGGTGTTATCTGATCATATGAGATTACATACATATGCAAATATGGAACACGCTGTGTGTGAACGTAGTTCAAAAGTACAGTTAGTAGGTATTTACGATTACAATATTTATTGGATGGTTCTTTGCTGGGATTTATATTGTTGTAAGAGTGCCTCCAATGAAGTAAACCGGTATTAAATTTGTTTAAAGATACTTTTAATTAATATTGCTGAACAAACTATTTATATTTTTGGGGTATATTTATATATATATTATTTACGAGTATGAATAGTTTTCACTTTATAGCTATATTTTGTATTTTTGTTTTTGGTTTTTTTGCTGATTTTTATAATGTATGTATATAACCATATTATATGTATGTATATATAAATGTATATTGCTAAATGTAATTATATTATATTTAATATGCAAATGTGTATGTATGTATATGTATGACTTATTTGTTTAACGAAGTTTGTGGCATGGCCCTTGGTCCATTAATACACTATGGTATTGTTTCAATTTATGTCTTTGTAAATTTTTTATATTTTTTATATTTGTATATTTCATTAGGTTATTTAAAATAAAAGTTTGTTGCTTTTTTGTTTTTGCTTTTGCTACAATTTGTTCTAATATTTACATAATTAATTTTAACATTATATTGTATTTCACTTGTCTTTAATAAACTAACTATAACTCTGCATATAGGTAGTGCTTTAAGTTGTATTTCATTTGTTTTTATTTGTTGTAATTTATATATATATTTTTATTTGCTAACGGTCACGTCTATTTTGCTACATTTATATTTTCCAATACTCCATCTCCGACATTTGTATTTAAATAAGAAACGCACCTTCATATTCATGCATGGCGTGTATTTTTCATTTTCCATAAATCTGCTACATTTGTGTTCTCACCAAAAAATTCTCTCCGCACTCGCCGAATCAACGAGTTCGCGTGGAACTAATTTTATTACGTTTAATTTGCTTTCAAACTTGTAAATTTCCGCCTTGGATTGCCGCGCAATATCCGCTTACATAACATCACATATGTGTCATACCATATGCTCAGAGTCTTCCATACAACTTCCGACCCTTGTTTGCCGAATGTTAGCTCCCTTCAATATGTATGTGTTTGTGTGTGTGTGTGTGACGGCGTGTCTGCCCACTTATCGTGTAAGTCGTGAATAAGCAGCCGATTGTAGTTAGTATGGAGAGTAATGAATCCAGTAGTATTTAGTTCACAATATTTAACATTAATCTGCGTATATTTTTGGTTTAGTTACAAGAAAACAATAATTAGAAAAAGACAACGTTCAGCAAAAGTTGAGTAAAAAAGATTTCCCTTCTTTTCCATTGTTCATTATTATAATGAAATCAATACTGAGGTTACTGGTAGTTAAATGTACAGTGTAATAATGAAAAGTTTTGTTGCTTCTCGTATATATTTGTTTGTTTTCAAGTTTTCAAGTAATACTCCTTAGAAAAAGCTCTTCAAGAATCCAGCTGGTCCAGCCTGAAAGTGAGAAATTGTATAAATAATTTGAGACCACATTAGCTTTATTCACACTATATTATATATAATTGAATACTAGAGCCTATGAAGTTCCTTTGGAGACCTGGTACTGATCGATTTCCGTTTCAGATTGCAGGAGTTCGCTGCACATATATAATATAATCTTATTTTTGGTTTAATTTCTATTTCTACTTCAAAACTCCAAAAATTTAACGATAGCTATGATTTGTTTTTCATCACCCCTTTTTTTATCACCGTAATGTTACTTCTTAGGTCATAACGATGCCCCACATCTGGTGGGCACAACCCATCTCTACTAACCCGTCAGGTAAATTGAGCACACTAATTTCATACAAATGGTAACCCGCACTCCATAATAGAAAATTCGATATTGTCCTTACTAGTGGTTTAAGGTGATCGACGATCCAGCGAGTTATTTAACGTAATGAAACGCGCAACCGGAACGACACTGAATGACAGCATCTTGCACGTTCTACGGGTTAGCAGATTTTCTTTTAATGCACAGACAACGATTCTTAAACACATATTACTTTAAAATATTTCGAATACAGTAGAGTTTTACACATCCCTTATAATGCCTGATACTATGTTAACTGAAACATTCTCTCTCAATTTTGACCCATAAATAGGAAATAAGCTCGACAGCAAGGATCATTATGTTGGTTGCATGAGAGATATGGTGCTCATCTCTAATTCAAGATTCATTTTGAACTCAATCAGTCCATACTATTCTACTGTTCATACTTTCATAGTTGTAGTAAATCTTGTACGAGTACTTGACTGCATTCGGTTCAATTTATCATTAATTGACTGCGCCAATCGTGAAAAACGGAATCCTATGTTTCCAGACATTTCGATGAAAGATAAGATTGTCGGATACCTTTTGGATTTATTTCACAAGTATTCCATGAGGATTTCGCAAAATGTGAGGGACTGAACAATCGAGTTCCATTGAATCTAAATCGTTAATTAGACACGAAAGTCATTTAAGGAGGCTTCGGTTGTTGAAAGTAACGATTTCTATATTGTGACGTCCTAACGGTATGGGAAGGGTATTTCAGATATCGCTTGGGACATGAGCATTTAACTTGATCTTTAAACTACATAAAATGTAAATATAATTCAATATTTTTAAGTCTTGCAGTATGTAAACTTACATCTTGCTGCTGCTGCGTTTGTGCTTGTTTCACTTTTGCTTGAGCGATCTTTAAGGCTCTGAAAGTGGAAAACGAAACAAAAAATATTTCAGTGGAATAACGAATACCATTCCGTTTGTTACGTACTGTTGTAAGTCCATAATGGTTTTCTCCTTGGCGTTCTGTTCCTCTTGCGACATTTGCACCAGTTGAAGTAACCGTTCGCATTCGGTGGTTGCCTTTTTGTGCTCCTCCTTGGTGTTTTGCAGTTCCTTAACGCAGCTAAACGGTAGAAAAAAGTAGCGTTATTTACAGTTGTTTTGCCTTTTTTTGGCAATTTACCCTTCAAGCTGTCGCTGTGTGTCCATGAGCTTCTTGTTAAGCTCCCCTGCTGCCGCAGCACCGCCACCCTGTGTCTGCAGAGATTTCTCCAACTGGTCCATTTGCTCCTTTCGTTTACGCAACTGTACATCGAAATCAGCCATTTTCTTCTCTTTCTCCTCGATATCCTTGCGTTTGGCTTCTATCTGTTTGCGCTGCTCCTCGATGATCTTGCGCTCGCTTTCCGTAGCCTTGGCTTGGTTGTCGATCTGTTTGCGTACCTCCTCCAATTGTTTCTGTTGTTGCTCCAATTGTTGGCGCTGCACATCGGTGGCAGCTGCGCCGGAAGTGCCCGCCTGCTGCAGTTGTTGTATTTGCTGCTGCAACATTTGCACCTGCTGCTGCAACTGCTGCACTTGCTGCTGAGAAGTTTGCAGTTGCTTCGACTGCTCCTGGTTTGAAAGCTAAAAGATTATGGATTAGGTAGAGAAAAAGTTGCTTAAAATGCTCCTGGTTTACTCACCTGGCTCTTTTCGAGTTCTTGTACCAGCAACTCCAGCTGCTGTTGGAAACGGTCACGTTCTGTACAGGCAGCCTGCAGTTCACCTTTCACCTTCTCCAGCTCCTTCGTGACTTCTTGAGCATTACCGGACACTTGTTGTTGCTGCTGCTGTTGTTGTTGTTGTTGTTGCTGTTGTGCTATCTGTTGTTGCATTTTCTGCATTTGTTGATGTTGCTCCTTAATGTGCTGATCCATCAACTGTAAAGTAGATTAATTAGTGATAACTCTGCACAATAGACGAAGGTAAGAGATCGGAGCTTTATTTTACTTGTATGCGTTTATGCATTTCTTGTGCGGCTTTGTCGGCCATTTCTGCGCGATTCTTCTCAACTTCAAGCACCTTGCGCCACTGTTCGACCTCTTCCCGATTGGCGCCACTCGCGCCCGCTGCGGCACTAGCGACCTGGAGGGCTTTTTCGGATTCTTGTAACTTCTGTTGCAGTCCCTGGATCTCCTGTTGCATGGCTTGCAGTTCAGCAGGTGCCGCGGGTGATGCCGGATGACCGTTACGTAATTTGCGATTCTCTTCACGCGCCTTTTGCAATTCGGTTTCGGCATTTTGCAGCTCCTTTTGGAAATTCATCAATATCTCCTGGCTCTTTTCGAGTTGCAGTACCAATTGCTCGCGTTCGATAGCTAATTGCTTGCAATCGGCTTCCAATTTCTGCATGTGCTTTTCGATTTGTGGATGCGGTTTGTCTGCGCCATTGCGTGCCGATTGGCGTAGTGACTCCTTCTCGGCCTCTGCCTTCTCGAGTCGATCGTGCAGACGGCCGAGTTCGGCAGACATGCGTTCGAATTCGATGCGCGTCGATTCGTTCGCTTCCTGCTGTTTGGCTAAATGCATCTGCGCTTTCTCCAACTCCTTGGCGAGGCGGCCCGCTTCGAGTTCGGTGGCATCGCGCGACTGTAATGCCTTTTCGAGTCGATCGCGTAATCGATCGATTTCTTGGCGCTCGCCAGCCGACATCGATGCGCGCACCGACTCGCCAGGGCTGATGGCCGACTGTTGCTGCAGACGCAATCGCTCCACCTCCTTCAGCAGTTTCTCGTGCTTGTCACGTGCCTTCTCGCGCTCAATATGCGCCCGCTCCAATTCGCTACGTTGTTTCTCTTGATTGGCAAGTAGCTTAGCAACCTCACCTTTGGACAATTCCAGTTGCAGGGTGGTCTCATGCAGTTTGGATTCCATATTTTGTATTTCATTTTCAATCTTGTCATACTTGTCTTTGTATTTTTCAAACGATTCGGATTCGTATTGTGACTTGCCACGAATCGTTTCGAGTTCCATAAGAGTTTTGTCCAGTTTTTCACGGAGACGCTCATTTTCTTCCTTAAGGCGACGGGTCTCACGTCCAAATGTATCAGTATCCTGGAGTTTACGTAACTCCACTTGACTCTTCTCATATCGATCGCGCATTTTTTCCAATTCAACGGCATAGTGCGCAGCTTCCTCTTTAGCCGCTTCCACGCTGGCGCTGGCTTTGGTTTGTGCCGCATGTGCGCGCTCCAGTTCGTATGTGACACGTTCCAACTCCGATTGTAAATGCTCTTTTTCACCTTGTGATCGTCGCAAATCGGTTTGTATCTTATCGAAACGTTCACGATTGTGCTCAAGCTCAACACGCGCATTATCTTCGCTCTCCTTAGCTCTGCTCAGTTGCAGCGCGGCTCGATCGCAGGCTTCCTGTAAGCGAGTGCTCTCCTCTTGCAATTTGCGTAAGTCTTCACGCGCTTTCGACGCGGCCAAAGAGGAACGCTCTGCTTCGACTTCCAAACGTGCGCGATCAGCTTCGGCGGTATCACAACGTGACTGTAGTCGATAAATCTCATTCTGCGCGCGATCGTACTTCTCAAGCATCTTCTCAAATTCTTTATTGGATGTGTCTTTCTCATCAATGAGTTTCTGGCTAGCATAAAGTGCTTTGTCTAGTTTTTCTTTAAGTATCTCCACTTCGGTAACAGCATCGTCACGCTCCATCTGCAAAGAAAATCATTAGCGCAAACCAAAAATTACCGCCGTTTTCACTCTACTAGACTACTTTTCGAGTATATGATGTATATGGTGTTTACTATTAACAGTTGTCTAATGTTAGAACACAATTTACAAACAGCCAATTGGAAATCTCAATGCATGCGAACCGAAATTAAATATAATAAATTATAATTTTGAAGTATCTTTGAAGCCAATTCGTACAATACGCATAAATTTGACTGTGTATATGTAAGGAGCTCAGAGCTCTTCTGATTGCAACCGTGTAAAGAAAAATTACCACAGACCATTTTTAAATCGAACAAATGAAAACACCTGAAGTAACAGAACCTGTTTAATTTTATCGGAAGGTTTAGTAATTAGAGAGCTAAAATGTTTACGTTCTCACAAGTGTCAAAATGTACCTATGGAGCATGAATATCCATCAATAATCGCCGAATCACCTGTTTAACATACTTTTGTACTTCTTCGACATTTTATTTAATCCTTTCTTCTGCACGAAGTAGAAGACACTTACGGTCGTTAAGTGAAAGGTATTCGATTTTTAATATTCACATTTTTTTCGTGAGGAATGTTTTCTGTCTTCTTTTGTGCATCCATGGTGTAAAACAAAGCTAGCACAGATTTATAACATATTGCTTTGTTTAAAATTTTTCACACTTGAGTTCTGACTTGCATTCTTCTAAAAGTAATACTGTTGTGGTTGAGATTCTTGACATACAGAGAAATTTTAAATGCAAAAGACTTTTACTTTTATATGGAACTTCTATGACTTAAACTTATCAGTAGAGGACATAAGGTTGTCGGATATTTTACAATTTGGTTGCGTGATGTTATGAAAATTATTTGCCATTGAATCTCAAAAAATGTAAGACGATATGCTTTTCCCGTAGATCTGTGTACCCCTCTTACTATGTAATAAAAAACTATAAACTAAAGCAAGTTTGTTAATTTGTTGATTTGGGGGTGGTTTGGTGGTTTTAAAATCAAAAGGTGTTCTGTGTTAAGCGCTGGTCTAAAGAATTTAGAGATCCGTATGTTACTAAAGCTATTTTACTACTTTGGTCAGGCTTATATTGGAATATGGCTCTGTGGTGTGGAAGCCAAATTCCCAGTAGTCGTTACAACTTATAAATCTGTCTACACATACGTAGGGAAATGATTGACATATTATTCTTTGTAAAAATCCTGAATGGAATAGTTTGAAGTCCTTTTCTCTTGTCTGAAGTTAAATTTAATATGTATACCGAACCATTCCGCCGCATATGTCACAGCTTTAATTCTCATTGCTGCACATTTGATTTATCTGACTCACTTTTCAAAATTAAAAAGACTATATGGCTTTCTATGATTAATTAAAATCGTAACAAATAGCTGTTGCTATTTTTGTTTCTGTAGCTGAGCATTTTTAGATCTCGGCGTTTAAAAAACTCTCTGCCTTTTATGACTCGCCTAATGCTGCGCGCATTTGCGAATTGCGCCCCTCACGTCGGTTGAGCGGGACGAGGGTAATCTTTGGGTTATTTTTATTATTATTTGTACTGCTATCCAGGCGGAATTCACTGATCGTGCCTTCGACAACTGACTAAATAAACTCAAAACGCTTTGCTGTTATAGATCTATATGAATGAGCTTGTAGCGGTAGAAATCATTCCTCAACAATTTTGAAGAGTGCTATCGCATTGACAGTTCTTGGTCGGATAAAAATCGGCGACCGTTCCGATTACGTAACCCCGACTATCGTGTGAGTGTGTTTAATTCTCCTATCTATGAATTTTGGTTGCCACGAAGACTAACTTTAACTACCTATATAATTTTCTTCATTAGGTTGAGCATTCGCACAATATTTGAGCAATCGGAGCAGGGAGTACGGAGAAGACCAGTATGGAGTGAAGTGCAATGCAGTTGTGAATGTATAAATGCATCTGTAACTGTGTGCGGTTGTTGGTGTATGGCATTACCTGCAATTTTTGTTGTATGGCGTGTGATTTTTCGTAACGCTCCTTAAGCACTTCCAAATCGGTTTGCATCGCCTCCTTATCGCGCGCCGCTTTCATCAGTAACGTCTGCGATGACTCGGAGCGTTCTTTGAGTGTTTCCAACTCATCGGAGAACTGATCCCGCTCTTTTTGTATACGTGCTAGTTGCATCTAGTTTAGTGTTTTTTTTTATAAAATATTCATATACTTGTATGCTTGTACATATGTAAGTATATATATAGTAGATATATACATTAACAACATTAAGGTTACGCCATACACATACATATAAATAGCATAGGTTGTGGTTGTAGTTCTTATAAAGGGGAAGCTATAGTTGTAGTATATTAGTAAGTACATACATACTACACATATACATATGGTATATACATAGCGGTTGTATTAGTTATTAGTAGACTATTAGTATTGCCTAAGGGCACGCGTCGGCAGTGGTTATGTAGATACAACGACTATGCAAATGTGTTTGTGTGTGTACGTGTGTTGGCTGAAAATGCATACCTGCGTTTTTTCTAATTTCTCACGTATGCGGTCCGTGTCGAGCGTGAGAGTTTCTCGTTCCTTTTGCATGCGTGCCGCCTGGCCCAGCGCCTTGTCCAGCTGCGACTGTAGGTTGTCGTAGTCGTAGGTGAGTTTTTCCTTTTCGAGCACCAAGCGTCGGTTTTCAGCCACCGATTTATCGAGTTTCTCCTGCAAGTGATCGACCTCATTCTGGGCTTTATCCAATGAGTTCTGCAGTTTCTCCTGCTGCAGTTGTGCCTTGCCCAGTGTGGCTTGAGTTCGCTCCATCTCCTCCTTCATCTTTTCCACTTCCGAGAAGGCCTAAAATAGTGTTTGTTAGTAATACATTTTATTAAGAAAGAATTAGTTTTTTAATCGCTGAAACTTAATTCATAAAAATAGGCTAGGGTAGATGGCTGATCCCTCAGAAATGCAGGGGATCACACTTAGACTGTTATGTACAGTCCTTTATGAAGCCATACAAAAAACTCCTATAGTTGGATATCAGCTATCGGAGAAAACGCTCGGAATCTATCAAAATCATTTCTGTTATTTCACTTGGATTTCCAAAACTATGAGATTCAAGATATGTTTGCATTGATCTGGCAGAAGCGAACATTTAAGGAGAAAGTGTTGAGATGATTCTATCTGATCTGTCTCAAAACAGCAGATGCTGTTGGCATCCGTTCCCTAGACTTCTTACGATTTACCCTGGGCCAGAAAGACCTTGCGACTACACAGCTGCCAGTAGTTAACTAACACTTGCTGAGCTGGTCTAAGGCCCAACAGCCCAATAGTAAACCACAAGAATTCAACGGAACTTCCACCCGTTCCCATTCCACAGTTATTGAGACTGAAGCTAGCAAGCTAGCCTACAGCTTTCTGCAATACCGCTGTGGCCAGGCACCCAAACCAGTCTAATTATAAAATAATTTCATGCTAGAGATACGGAGTTTAGACATCCTTTCACATGTTTATCGGAGTGAATAGTCACCACTCTGAAGGAAGATGGGCTCCGGAGCAATAGATCTACTGCTACCGACAGCATACTCCTCCACCAAACCTCCATAGTACATTTTTTTTGAAAATTTGAAGCGAATCAAATGTATGAATGTATGAGATCAGTACTCTACATTTGTATGGATCGAACTTTCAAACGTGAAAAAAAACATTGGTTTTTCACTTTTAACAAGGGCTACTTTATAAAGTGGTCGGTCCTTATGTGACAGAAGAGCGAACAACTGGGCTTTAATTCTAGTTTCCGGTTCGAGACGAATTGTTAAAATCTAGACAATACTTTCCCACTATGCAAACACGGCCAAATCATCAATTTCATAGATCAGTATATCGGTTTTCCCTTTCCTTTTCTGATGAATACTTAAGTTAGTATCTTTTTAAGATCAATCCCGTTTAATTGACCTGATTGTCAAGTTCAACTATTTGTAATAATAATAAGTAATGATAAATTAGAAGATATTAAAATTGAATATTTGTGCCATTTATATCAAATACGTTACAGACTAAGAATTTGGAGGAGCTTTCCTTCAGCAGACCCAACTATTATCTAATTGACGGTCAAACACACTATATTCTTTCTTAAGTTATATTATATGAATAAATTACGAATGAATTTGAACGAAAATAGAAGAACACTTACCCGATCTCGATCAGCATGTATGCGTGACACACCTCCCTGCACCTTCTCAAGCTCCTGGCGCAAGCTTTCCTGTTCGCCTTGTGCATTCTCGAGTTTCGCTTTAAGGCGATATACCTCACCCTGACTCTTCTCGAGCTTCTCCTGTAACGCGGTCGCCTCTTCACGAGCACGCTCCGCGTCCGACTGAAACGCGTAGAGGGGGAGAGGAAAAAAAATATAAAATAAACATTATTGTTCTTCATTGACACTATATTAGTTCTTCTGACATGACAATTGCACAAGAGGATTTTTCGAACAAACTACTAGAAATTACTTCGATCTTACTAAAATGTTAAAAAATAAGAAAAAGGAATAAAAGAGTTTGGTGTGATAATGTCAAAATGTCCAACTATTAGATAAACGATATATATTGTTTGGGTGACTTATAGTAAATAGTCAAAAATGATAGAAATAGAGATTACGACAGTTTCGTCCCGTTCCTTTTTTTTAGAATTTGTTTGAAAGAAAAAACGCGACGTCATGAACAAAAGAAAGGAAGGATTTGTGTACAATTACTATGAAAATATGACAGTTCGTTTCGTTTAAGACGTTGCGTGTCGCAATCTTGTACTCTATCATTCTTGATAAACAGTTATGTACGCAAATGGAAACACAGAACGTGGAAAGCGCCACAACAAATGCATTTGGTGACAGCGAAACGAAACGGACACGAGCAATGCAATGACAAAGAAACGAGTCACTTTGGGTTGTTGTTTGCTCTTTGCAATATGTACAGAGGTGCGCGTGCGTGCGTTTTATGAATTCAATTTTATTTTTTATTTTTTGAGAGGTGATATGGCACGATTACAGCGGAGAGCGAAACAAAATTAAAATAATTTCTTTTAATATAATATGTATGTATGCGCGATTATTTTACATGTTCTTAGATGGAATGCTTTAACAAGACAGCGATGACATCGATTTGCTTCAAGTAAACACAATACTCACAACAGTTATCCAAACTAAATAAACATGATCCGTACTGCGTTTCGATTAACATATTCTTTCAATACTTAGCAAGCTGTATTTGCACTGGAACAATCATCGCCTCTAGTACATAAAGCTAACACGTAGTACATTGAAATAGCTGTACCTTTATACAAAAAGTTTTTATCCGAAGTCATGGGAGTTTTTTGAAACACTATACTTTTATTTATCGGACTTTAGTTTTAGGGGTATTTTATTTCTAGCGCCAAAAAGGCAACCATAAGCGCTCCATATATAAATTCTTTCTTTACACAAATAAAACAGCTTCTATACAGCAACTTGATCCGACCGATCGGTTTGTATGGCAGCTATATGCTATATCGGTCCGATCTGAACAAATTATTTGAAGATTGTACCGTTATCTTGAGCAATAATCAGTTTAAAATTTAGATATCTTGTCAAATAAAAAAAGTTTTCCTTACAAGGACATGATTTTGATTGATCAGTTTGTATGGCAGCTATATGCTTTAGCAGTCCGAACTGACGAATTTCTTTGGAGATTATACCGATGCTTTGAAAAATAATACTGGTAAACAAAATTAAACTGTTTTTGATTTTAGAAGTTTATAAACGGTTTCTTACTAATTTGACGTCGCTGATTTCAAATTTACCTTCAGTTCCTTTCTAGCAGCACTAGTTTTAGTGTACATGTACTTCTTGAAATATCGTTACTCGGCTTACTTGAATTAATTTTAAATTTCATAAATTAACCGCTATGTATACATAAGGAAGAATTTGTTTAAATGATCCGAATAGCTTTTGTGCTGTGCTGACTATATGTTTATAGAATGCCTTTTAAATGCGCCTGATTTTATTTTATAACAAGTAAGAAAGGGCTAAGTTCGGATGTAACCGAACATTTTAAACTCTCGCAAAGTCAAATGGTATACTCGTTTGAGATTTCTTTGTGGATTGGCTAATATTTTCGGTAGAAGGTCAACTATAGGCACTGGGGCCCACATATTTAGTACTTAGGAGCTTGAACAGTTTTGGTTCGATTTAGACAATTTTTGGTCACAAGGTGGCATACTTTAAACGTATTATTCACGCAAAGTTTTACCCCGATATAATCATTCTTGCTTGATATGCATAGTGGAAAGTGAAAGAATCAGATGGAATTTAAAATGGTGTTATATGGGAAGTAGGCGTGGTTGTAGTCCAATTTCGCCTATTTTCGCACTATAAAATAGAAATATGAGAAGAATGTTACGTACCGAATTTGGTTGAAATCGGCAGATCTCAAGATATGGGTTTTCACCTAAAAGTGGGCTGTGCCACGCCCACTGTCTAATTTTGAACGCGGTTCCTATAAAGTCATCTCTTACCATCCCAGAGATAAAATTTAATGTCTCTGGCGTGTTTAGTGCTTGATTTATCGCGCTTTTTATAGTTTTTAACAGTACCGTTATATGGGGAGTGGGCGGAGTTGCCACCCGATTTCAACTATTTTCACACTGTTGCTAGAGGTTCTAAAAAAATTTGCTTCCAGTGAATTTTGTTATTATAACATTAGCGGTTTAGGAGATATGCACATTAAACCTATTAGAGGCGGGACCAAGCCTACTTTTTAAAAAAAATTTTAACTGCAGATGCCCATAATTTACCAATTTAAGATTAAGATTATGACCAAAGCTACCGTGGGACACCAAAGTAGTCCAAATTGACCTTTTTTATACTCTCGCAACCTGTTGCTACAGAGTATAATAGTTTTGTTCACCTAACGGTTGTTTGTATCACCTAAAATAATCGAGTTAGATATAGGGTTATCTATATATAAATGATCAGGATGAAGAGACGAGTTGAAATCCGGGTGACTGTCTGTCCGTCCGTCCGTCTGTACGTCTGTCCGTCCGTCCGTGCAACCTCTAACTTGAGTAAACAATGAGATATGTTCATTAAACTTGGTAGACATGTTTCTTGGTACCGTGAGACGGTTGGTATTGCAGATGGGCGTAATCGGACCACTGCCACGCCCACAAAAAGCCATTATTCAAAAACAAATAAATTGCCATAACTAAGCTCTACAACAAGATACAAGACTGTTATTTGGTACACAGGATCACATTAGGGAGGGGCATTTGCAGTTAAACTTTTTTTTAAAAGTGGGCGTGGTCCCGCCCCTAATGGATATAATGTGCATATCTCCTAAACCGCTAATGCTATAATAACAAAATTCGCTGGAAGAAAATGTTTTTAGAACCTCTACCCACAGTGTGAAAATAGTTGAAATCGGGTGGCAACTCCGCCCACTTCCCATATAACGGTACTGTTAAAAACTACTAAAAGCGCGATAAATCAAGCACTAAATACGCCAGAGATATTAAATTTTATCTCTGGGATGATATGAGATGACTTTGTAGGAACCGCGTTCAAAATTGCGCGTGCGAAAATGGGCGAAATCGGACTAAAACCGCGGCTATTTCCCATATAACACCATTTTCAATTCCATCTGATTCTTTCACTTTCCACTATGCATATCAAGCAACAATGATTATATCGGGGTAAAACTTTGCGTGAATAATACGTTTAAAGTATGCCACCTTGTGACCAAAAATTGTCTAAATCGAGCCAAAACTGTTCAAGCCCCTAAGTACTAAATATGTGGGCCCAGTGACTATAGTTAACCTTCTACCGAAAATATCAGTCAATCCACAAAGAAATCTCAAACGAGTATGCCATTTGACTTTGCGGGAGTATAAAATGTTCGGTTACATCCGAACTTAGCCCTTTCTTACTTGTTTTAATTCGAATATTGTAGTATTTTTGGCTAAAAATGTCATACGTTCGTATTTCGAAAACTAGAGCTACTAGACACTGACTGGCAAAATCATACAAAATCGGGTAAGAAGCTTTATAAAACAATACTAATAATACTTCTGTTTCCCGGTCGGGGATATGAGAAACTTTGACCTGGCAATATCTGATATATGTGAAAAGATCGACAGTATAAATTAACGTCCATCTTGAATGACAGATTGAAATCTGTCATTTGAACGTCGCTAACAGTAGTTTGCGATTGTTGAAGAATCTTTAATGTAAGGTTTTAAGCCAACTGAGGATATATCATATATTTAGTTGAAACTTTTCAACATGTTAGACTATGTTATTGTAATTTGAACATTTTCGATTCGCTTAAATTAATTGTTCCAGTTAGGCATTTGACAAAGAAGTTTGGCAAAAATTTAAATAAAAAAAGCGTCTTAGGCAAACTTAATTTCTTTTGCATTTAAAATTACTAATCATTACTTATGTGTCGAGTAAATATGTGGTATTCGCAAAAGTGAAGCGTAAGTTAAGGAAGCAAAGACAACTTCAAAAAGTGTTAATGAAAATAGTTTTGAACAAAATAAGGGTAAGGGTATATTGAACATGAATTGAGAACATCGGATGGATGTAATTATGTAATATGTTATGTATGTATGCAGGAATTTCGGCAGGTTTCAACGACACTATGACATGTCTATAATAAGAATCATACGAATTATACGAATGTATGAACGTTTCTAATAGACAGTTATGGTTGTATTTATAAGTAAGTTGCATGTTAATAACGAGTATGCCATATAGTTAGACTATATGTATATATGTATGGTATGTATAGAATGTAAATTGATATACTCAAAAACGAGGATTTTGAAACTTTGGATACTTGTTGTTGGCGATTTTAGAAGCAATTACTCACAAAACGTTTATCTGTATCGCCCTATAATACGAGATACGAGTAGATACGAGTATGAACGTAAGCGCAACACGGTTATTTGAATTGTTTGAAAATATCCATTAGAGAGAGTTAAGTTTACATAATTAGTATTTAGTAGTTAAGAGTAGTAAGTAGTAGTAGCAATAGCAATAGTAGTTAGCACTAGAGCAATAGTAGACAAATATTAATACTTTTTTTTCTAAATTTTATTAAATACTTTATGCATTGAATAATTGTGCTCATGAGAGTGTGTATAACTATGCATGTGTGAGTGTGTGCAAATGAATCTAATGACTTTGAGATTACAGCTTTTGTAAAATGCTCGCATATTTTTCTTAAGTCATATTATGTTATGCCGATCATTGGCCTACAGAGATGTACCGTACAGTGTTTGTTAGCGAAGGGTGCTTCAGAGTATTAACTGTGGAAAACAGTAAAAATAAAAGTGTAACCCCAACTGTTATCGACGCTAATCTAGATTAGACCAAACATATAACTAATATTTTTTTACAAATTTCCCGAATTTAATCGAATACTTTCTCCAATTTTATTTGGTTTTTCCTTTAAACTTTATACAATTAAAAAAGGTTCGTACATGGAGCTAATAGGTGACGAAAAGGTCCAAGAACTTTTCTGATACGATGTAATAATAAAGGGGTACTCATAGTGAGGTCCGCGAAAAAAAATGATTTGTCGATGTTTTTAAGCAGAACCACAGTTATAACTCAAAAGATATTTTAAATATTCATTTGAATGTTATTTTTAAAAATATACAATAGAAATTTTTTTTTAAATATCCTTTTATTCGTATTTTTTGATGAAGCTGATGAGAAGATTATCTATTCTTAAATAAAAGTCGCTCTTCATGTGTTGGTTTCCAACGTTTCTTTATCGAAAGAAGGACACAAGAAAGTATTTCAGTACAAGAACTTGATTTTGATCGATCAGCTTGTATCATAACTATATGCTATAGTGGCTACCTCAACTCAGCTCGTCCCGCTGACGATTTATGTATATTTATATTTTATGGAGCCTCGGACGTTGAAGGTTTTCTCACAAAAATTTAAAGAACTTCCGTTAAACTATACGACACACCTCTGCTTCTTTGCCCATTCAGAATTATAATTTTTGACATAAGCTGTACATCCGCCGGTGATTTATTTGATTGTGGTGTATACTTGATTGAGTATGCATTTATATAATTACTCTTCATTCACTTTTGATACCGGTGTATAACTGTGCATGTTTGCTGTGCATGAACCCGATTAAAACGACACACATACATAGGTGAGTATGTTGTGTAGTATGTGTTTTGAATACTGTCTTCTGATATCTGCGACATGAAACATACTAGCATAAGTGTATAATATGAGTAAACATTTTAAAGTCGGAATTCAAACAATTAGTTATTTTTGTTGTTGTACGAGATAATTGATTTAATTTACAATTAGGTGCGACATTATTCGTACATTGTAGAATATATGTATATGTAAATATTTATATATAGAAATAACTAATAACTGAAAATCAAAAAAGCATTTTGCTCATCATACGCAATTGTTTTCCATAATATAATCAAATCATATCAGATCAAATATTAACACCACTTTCAAGTAAAATTCTTTTGAATGAAAAATTCCATTTCGATGAGGTCTAATGTTTGTATGTGTTAATGTGATTAATATAAGTATATGATATGGTGTTACAATTAGATATATTTATATACTGCTAGATATACGAATATAATTATGTATGTATGTGAATGTACCAAAAATATGTGTGTGTATGTGTAATGGAAATTACTTCGAAAGAATGCAATTGCTTTAATTCCGTTAAGTTATATATGTATGTTGTTGTACAGCGTTTACGTACCTGTGTGACGCGGAGCTCAGCTTGTGTTCGCCTCAGTTCCGCAGCCGCCTTGTCGGCGCGCTCTTGTGCCCGGTCCAGCTCTTGCGAAGTCGTCATTGTTGTGCGACCAAATGTTGTCTAGGCGCAGGAACGAAGATAATAGTATTATTATAATTTGAATAAATTTATTTATATTTAAATGTATATACATATATGAAAGTACATATGTGCAATGGTTCAGTAAGGAATAGGGTGCGTGCAAATTTTTGTACAGCAGAGAATCCTTTTTTTACAACATATGTAGTTGACAACAATGCATTTACAACACAACATTTATGAAGTATATACCATGTGTTCGTTGGTGTGTGTGTTTGTGTGTACATGATCATTTACAAGGGTATACTGTAGACGTCTGTATTGTATTTATGGCTACATGACGGCGTCACTTTTAACATTACCGTTATTTCAGCGAATGCATTTTGCGCCTAAAAGTAGGCCAATCGATTTTCGAATAATAGTATATATTAAGCAATTTTTAAATAAAGTTTATTGAATGCAATTCTAACTAGAAAATCTGTTTTCTTTATCGGAAAAAAATTAAATTAGCTAACTTGTTTCATTCAAACGAGTATCTACATTTCAGCACGAAATCGCGGATACAACAAATTACGCTTTTTATTTCTAAATATTCTTAACGAAAAGAAGTAAGCTCTGATTTAAGAAGTGATTTAATTTTTTTTTGTTGGTTGCAGTTTTCTTTTATTAGAAACTACAAAGTCGATATAGTTGATAAGTTTTAGATATCTCGTTTACCTAAGTAATACATTGTCGGCAGGTGTATTGATGTGAAGTACGCTCTAAGGCTCAAGGAAGCTGGGTATAAGAATGGGTCCGAACAAGAACACGCCAAATTCTCCCTCCCTCTACTGCATTCTTGGAAACTTAAATCAGAGGTTACTCGTGGCGGATTTTTCTCTGCCTACAGGTGAGGGATATGAGCATGAGAAGCAGTCGCTCGTGAAGAAGTGCAATAAGCTTTTTTCGCGGACATGTTGAAGCCATAAGAGAAGTTTGGAGGCGTAGTTTTTTGTAAGAAGAGTCAGTATTAGCTTTAGGCTACCGTTGCGTTCCTTTAGCAGGCGCTGGCCGACGACCCGCTACTGTGCGACTACAAGATCCTTTTGGACAAAAGTGGAACGCAAGAGGTCCTCTGAACTTCTTACTCTCAGCTAAGTTCATTTTGCTGCAATCGTAGGAGTTCTTACTGGCATTCATGCGTTAAGGCTAAAAGTCTTGTCGGATGTAATTTCTCAAAGCTGTATGGAGGAGGTTGAGATGGAAACTTCCAGACACTTTTTCTTCCATTGTGCAGCCTTTTCAGGACTGATGTTGAAACATCGCGGCAGTCTTATCTTTATCGAACCAAGAGACATAGACGAAACTGTATTAGCCGTCTCAACAAATTTGTGATAAGCTCAAAGCGCTTTGTCAATTTGTGTGTGTTTTATGAACTATTATATAGGATTTTGGGTACTACAACAAACAGGTGTTATAAGCTGAACCTAACCTAACCTAAGTAGATAAGTTTTGGTTAGCTTTTTCCCTACAAAATTTCAAATGGAATGATCTGAACAGGGTATACATTTTATGATCTTCCACAGATTTTTCTTGTAACATGAGTCATATATGGCGGTAATAGTTCTTAATGTATCGGAATACAACTAGCGTTTTATAAGAACAATGTGGCATTATTTGAAATATAATTTTTCTTATACTCGTCCAAGCAATTCTGGTAGGGTGTTCAGTTTTGAGAACCCATTCGGATAACCCGCAAACAAACTACAACAAAATTGTAAATTGTTGTAAATTTTGATGCAAAGATGCAATGTTCAAATATCCCTAACGCCTCACGCGGTGAAGTGTTGACTACTTTCAGATCAGCTTTCAACTACTTAATCTTTCCCGCTTACCCTCTCCTCAATGATATGACCTGCTAAAATTGTGGACGGATGGACGCATGAAAAGCTTGGTTTGAATGGTACAAATGAAGTGGACCACTTATGGTTAGTTCATTCATATGAAACGAGCGAGCTTTATGGTTTCGAGATGATGTACATGGAAAATATAAATTGAGACTGTGACTTACCGATAAGCGTCCTGACTCGAGCATTAATTTTTGTACAGACTGAAAAGTATTTGAATATTATTACATTTAAAAAGAAAATTTTTGCAAATACTTCTTCTTTTAGCTGTGCTTTTAATATTCAATATATAAAAGTAGGTATGAGGGACCTATGTTTGTGGCATTCGGAGCTGAGAACTTAGCAAAACTAAAGTGCTGGGGTGTTGGGAGCTGTACGAGCTCTTAAGGCTTCGAATAACTAGCGATTATTAGCTGATTTTGTAGATACTCTGATAAATGTAAATGCAATTAATTTCTGTAGACAATATGTGAGCTTAATAATAGTGATGGTGGATTGGTTTTAAGAGCATGTTTTGGTTTGAGTTGTTGTAAATATTTCAGGTTTTGAAAACGTTCCTTTTTACTTACTTTCAAATCTGGGGAATGTGATTTTTATTGAAAGTAATTCTGGTTCCGTTATCTTTTAGCGGAAAAGCGTCCATAAGCATACAAGGGATATGAACCCAAAAAAGTGTTTTACTACAGATTTCTATAGTTTCGTTTATGTTAAAAAGATTCACTTTGAAAATACAGCTTATGTTTGAACATGTCACCAGTGACCATTTATGGACCAAGTCCTATTTATTATAAGTTATTGAATATCTTGATTGAGAACCCCAACTTTTGGACTTGTCATTAGACAAGAGATGTAGAGTGAAATCTTATGTTTTTTATTTGTTTAAGAACCAATTGTCACTCTTTCCCTAAGAAATAAACATCTTCAATAAAAATCATTGTCTTTGGAACTTGTTTATTGAGATGTTGGGAGAAAGGGGAGCCTATACAATTAATTGTATGAATTTAAATTTTAAAATTAAGTGAGTAATGTGTGTTGTAATCTCATAAGTATAATCTCATGAGGTGTGAAATTCATTTAATATTAGTAAACAAATTTTATCAGTAAATTAGGCACCAAGCTTGAAAGATTTCACGGAAAAACGGAAGATTGCGTATCGAAGTAAAGAGTGTATTTTCATTAAGGACTACCTCACTATTGTGAATCAGTTTCCACCACTATTATCAAGCCTAGTATTACACTAAAAAATATAAGTCCGTCTTGTTTTTTTCTCGCAGACAAAAAATTCTATACAGTCGCGTCTTCGTTATATGAAAGTTAAAAATAAGCGTGCCTTTAGTGTATTTGTGTATGAGTGTGTGTTTATGAATTTAGCACCCGTCCGATATATTATATGTATGTATATACGTTTCAGATGCTAGGAATATATAACTGTTCGTTTACGAGTACTCGTGTTTGAGGTGCAACACGACGTATATATGTACATATGTATAAACATCAATTATTTGTATATAAACTTCGGCAAAGGTTAAATAGTTCAAACGTTATAGTATAATGAGAGTCCTTCCCTATTTGGTTAGTACACGAAAAAATTCTGAACTTTTACTCATCAACACAACGGGACTACTTGTAAATACTTTTAGCAACTAATAGTTCTTTATATACAGTGCAATTAAGCGTGACATGTCATATCGAGTTCGTAAATGCTCACATAAGCGCTCACTAGTAAGCAATATGCGATTTCAACAGCAGGGGAGCATTTACGAAGACTGATATGATCGGTAGCGTGATCGTTCGAACGGTTTACTTAAACTTTAATACTATTCGTGAGCTAAAGTTAATTAAAAATGATGATTTTTTAGGGATTTCATAGAAAAAATCTTACTTTATGTAGTGTGGTCTGTTCTTCTAGCTGCAGCTATTATGGTGGTAGTTATGGTAGTAGGTGGTAATAGTAGTAGAACATAGTTGTAGATACATAGGTACATAGGTGGTTGAGTGGAGTAAATGTGTACATGTAAATAATAATAATATTAGCACAGTAAAAACGTTATTGCTTCAAAAACACACATGTATATAAGTATATAAGTAAGTAAATTGAGTATTAAAGGTAAATATGCAGGTAGTATTGCTTTCATATCTTCATAATAATTTAACACCTAAATAATTATCATAGTTTTAGTAAGTAGTTGATATCTTTAGATTCGGTAATAGGTAGAGTATGCATTTATATAATTACACTAGTATTTTTTTGGGGTATATAACATCGAACGCATATTTATATCACATATACATAGCTGTAGTTAATTTTACTTTTTAAGTAATCAAGAACAAGAAAGAGCACCTAACCGATTGTAGTTAACGGCTTGAGTGTCTACATAAATACATTCCAGTACCTGTGAACGTTCCAGATCGTGTTTCAAGCGTTCGTTCTCCAATTCTAGACGGGCTATGCGTTGTTTGGTGGACTCCCAATCGGCGTTGCTGCGTCCCATCTCGCAGGTGGCCTTCTCCAGTTCCGCCTTCGATTTGCCCAACTCACTTTGTGACGCCTCCAATTTGATTTCCAAGCGCTCACGTTCGGTGACTGCACGCTCCAGGCGTGTATTCAATTTCTCCACTTCGCTCTCGAGTGCCCGCAACTTGATTTTGTAATCGGCAATTTCACGCTCATGTAATTCGCGCTCCTCTTGCTTTTCATGTTCGGCACGATCTCGCTGTTCTCGCAGTTGGGCCATTTGCTTCTCTTTGTCACCAATGGCTTCTTCGAGGCTTGTGAGAGCGCCCTCGGAGCTACTGTGATGAGCTTGCATTGCCGATAGACGTGCCCGTGCCATATCCACCTGATTATCCTTCTCCTTGAGCAAATCCTCGAGATTTTCAATCTGATGGCGAAGCATAGTCGGGTACAAAACAAAAACGAAAGAGAACAAACCAAAGCAACGCAAGTGTGGTAAGCCAATGGGAAATAAAAGTAAAAAAAAAAAGTTATTTTCATTAGTTTATTTTGAAAATTTTGTTTGTTTTACAGAATAGTATAGTAGTTTAACAAACTATGTTATTATGTAAGTAGCTTAGAGCTCAGTGTATGTTTGATTTGAGGTGAGTAGTGATGTGGCTGTAGAGCGTAGAGGTGATGGTAGTGTTGTAGTGGTATATGTTTCTGTATTATAGCGCACCTTTCGCTGTAACACGTTGATTTTGCGATCCTTAATCTCCATGTGATCCTTCAATTCGGTGAGTTCACTAGTCAGACGATTCCGTTCTTGTACCGTTTGTAGCGTGCCTTGTGTCTTCTTCTCGATCAAACGGTTTTTCTCCTCCAGGCGGGCGCGCAACTCCTCAACATCAGTCTGCAGCATATTGTAGTGCTCTTCCTTGGCACATAACGACTCCTTCAGAACCGCTATGTGACGCTGATAGTCCTAAAAATTGTATAAGCATGATTTGTTCAAATTTATGGTATTATGAATTCGCAAAATTGTAGGCTGCGTTTGCACCGGTTAACCCTTAAGTGATGGCTTCACAAATAATAAGTCCCGTTATCAAAACAAGTATGTTTTGGATCAATTGAAAAACAAAGTATTTCATAAATTGTGGAAAGACGTATTGTTTTGAAACGTTTATCTTATTTTTACTGAAATTTAAAACTCGAAATGAGCCAGTCCAGTAGCAAAATTCGGTAGACATGTTATTCTTACAATTTACCTTTTATGTATTCATCTGCTGTATGGTATTACCATAAATTTAATGATTATTTAATAAAAATATTTATGTTATTCTAAATTTCTATATATTTTATTTAAGAGCTAAAATGTTGATAAATCTGAAATTCACCACACTCCATACTCTGAGATAGTTAAACTAATTTCTTTCGGTATTGTTTGTGGTATTTACGATAAAAACTATCATATTGGATTACTGCAAATTAATTCATCTAAAAAGTTATGTTACTATATAATTTTCCTTTTTATTTTTAAAGTTGTACCACGCAATCATCACCAAAGGATTAAGCTTAGGCGCTGCTTTTGTGAACACAGCCTTATATGCAGAATAAAAAAATTTAACCGATCTTTTACCTGATGTTGCTCTTCCAAAGTTTTCATTTTGGCCGCCATCGCCAATATTTCTTGATCCCTTCTTTGTATTTCAAGACGGAATTCGTCCAACTTAAATGCCAATCAAGGTAGAATTTGGAAAAAATAAATTGCATTACATTAGCATTACTCTTATACAATGACTTCATATGTGTCTTTGTTACTAAAAAGGGGCAATTTACGTTCGCTAACGTTGAATGGCGATGAGCAGAGTTTTGTAGAATGCAACGCCAGAGCGGCATGATGTATGAAATCGATAAAAATGCTTTGAAAGTTTAATGATAGAGTGACAGAAAGATAGAGAGAGCGAGAGAGATGGATGAATACGCTGCGCGTACTTAGTGCCGTGAATATGAGGAGAAGTACGTGTAATGTATGGAAAGTAATGAAATTATTGCTGTTATCTATGACTCTCTATGTATTCATTTATGAGATTGTGTGTGCTTTTTTTTGCCTTGAACGCGGTGTTATGAGTGAAAGTTCTTGCTCGCTTGAAAGAAAGGTTACAAACATTTTATATACATATATGTATTTTCTTCAATGTTAACAAGTGTGCACTTGTGCTCTTAACAATGTCCGATTGTGTAAAACCGAAATCTTCGGTTTTTTGTTTGGTGTTCGGAAATACAATTTTTTCGTGTATGCTTATTTTGTTTAGAAAACTGTGTGTATGATTGGTGTGTTTGTGTGACTGATCGCTTCAAAAGTGCCGAAGTGGGTGTGTTGGTGTAGGGGTACTACATACAGAGAGTAAGCTTTGCCAAAATGTATGAAATATTTTGTTTACGTTTTTTATTTACTTTTATTTTTTATTATATTTCAATAAAGTTTGAAGATTATTTATAATATGTTTTTTTTGTGGTTTATTAGTAGTTATAATTACAATTTTCTGCTGTTTTTTGTTTATATATTTCATTTTATGTTCTAACTCAGCGTATATGTATATGTATGCATAGCATGTATATAAGTATAAGTATATTATAAATACTGCCTTGGAATACAATATAATAATTAATAAATGCCTCAGTTAGTTACTCTGAAAATGACACAAAGATCACTACGCGACATTGGCTATATAAAGGCATATTTAAATTATGATAAATATTACCAGAAATATAGTTTATGTACAGAAGCATGCAGTTTCCCGAAGGGGAACTCAGAGTTATACCGCGTTCATTTATCATTTAGAGCTCTTACTTAGTAAAGTAAGTAAATTTGCTTTGTAAAACCTGTCAATAAACTTGGAATGGATGAATTGGATGAATCAAGCACATCAGATTCATCATAATTCAACATCAAATTAAAAAAATATAATGTTGTGGCAATTTCTATCGATTACACATTTTCTAAGTATCTGTCAACAGTCCGTCAGAATATTTGAATAATTTTACCATTTAGTCATTATACTCTCGCAACTTGTTGCTACAGAGTATAATAGTTTTGTTCACCTAACGGTTGTTTGTATCACCTAAAACTAATCGAGTTAGATATAGGGTTATCTATTTATATGTATAAATGATCAGGATGAAGAGACGAGTTGAAATCCGGGTGACTGTCTGTCCGTCCGTCCGTCCGTGCAAGCTCTAACTTGAGTAAAAATTGAGATAACTTTATAAAACTTGGTAGACATGTTTCTTGGTACCGGAAAACGGTTGGTATTGCAGATGGGCATAACCACTGCCACGCCCACAAAACGCCATTAATCAAAAACAAATAACTTGCCATAACTAAGCTCCGCAATAAGATACATGACTGTTATTTGGTACACATGATCACATTAGGGCGGGGCATCCGCAGTTAAATTTTTTTTTTAAAGTGGGCGTGGTCCCGCCCATAATAAGTTTAATGTGCATATAACCTAAACCGCTAAAGCTATAATAACAAAATTCACTGATAACAAGTGCTTTTGACACCTCTATCGACAGTGTGAAAATCGGGTGAGAACCCCGCCCACTCCCCATATAACGGTACTGTTAAAAACTATAAAAAGCGCGATAAATCAAGCACTAAACTCGCCAGAGACATTAAATTTTATCTCTGGGATGGTAAGAGATGACTTTATAGGAACTGCGTTCAAAATTAGACAGTGGGCGTGGCACAGCCCACTTTTAGGTGAAAACCCATATCTTGAGATCTGTCGATTTCAACCAAATTCGGTACGTAACATTCTTCTCATATTTCTATTTTATAGTGCGAAAATAGGCGAAATTGGACTACAACCACGCCTACTTCCCATATAACACCATTTTAAATTCCATCTGATTCTTTCACTTTCCACTATGCATATCAAGCAACAATGATTATATCGGGGTAAAACTTTGCGTTAATAATACGTTTAAAGTAAACCTTGTGACCAAAAATTGTCTAAATCGAACCAAAACTGTTCAAGCTCCTAAGTACTGAATATGTGGACCCCAGTGCCTATGGTTGACCTTCTACCGAAAATATCGGTCAATCCACAAAGAAATCTCCAACGAGTATACCATTTGCATTATTTTGAAAATGTATTTGTATAGACCCGAAGCTACTTTTCCTCTGAATTAAATACAATTAAAAAGACAATTAATCTGGTCCATCAGTTTGGTTTGCTATTTAATAATGAACAGGCTTACTTCGGATTCACTTACTGCCTATAGGCAGTAGTGTCTGTATTTGGTAAACCGTATTCGGAATCGTTAAATTTTTTGGGAATAGAATTAACTGATAAACATTTCAGGCCTTTTATATGTTCCAAATCGGCTTTTATAGTAAAAACGAAGCCACAAAGCAATATCTAACGATGTCGTTTCGAGATGAGTTCGCCGAAACCAAAAATGGTTTCTCGGCGCCAAAATCAAAGACGTGTCTGTTAGTTTCTCACATACGTTTTTCGACTCTTTGTTTACAATGAAAGTATTTTGAATTGTTCAAGGTAATGGTTTCGAATGCATATGATACCAGCTTATTGTAGTACCAAATGCAGGTCGTGCCCTAGAGTAAGTTGGTAAGAGAAAGTGGATAATGGTGGTTCTTTATATTGCCAAATATATAATATACGGCATCCCGATAAAATAGTGTGAAAATGTTGCGAAAGTTTATTCTGGGCACTCATTGCTGAGCCTCAATGAGACACTAAGCGCCGTTACAGAGCCAGTATCGCGTGTTGGTCAACTCATTTTTTAAATCTGCGGTTTGTGTACTAAAACAGAGCTTGTAGTCATTACTTATATCGACACTTATTTCAAGATTATAGACATTTGCTATGCGTTTACTTGTAACTCCACCATATGTATGTATGCTTGCTGGTAAGTCTGTATGTATATATATATGTTTATATATATACATATTTTTATCAACTTGATTTATTTATTATTTGTGTAGATAGTTTCATATTTCGGCATCATCTAATGGCAATCAATATCAGCTATATAAATCTGCTATTACACTTGTACATATGTTTGTATGTATGTATACGTATAGTACGTATATATAAGTATGAAACATTGTATATGCTAATCAAAAAAGAATAACAGTCAGCTTATACGTAAATAGTATCAGCACCGCTGTGGGTACTTTTGTTTAAATGCAAGATTTTCTGTCTGTATGTATACGAATACACTGGTTTATTGGCTAGTCTGAGCTATTAACGAGTACGAGTATTATTGTGTTAGATATATTTGTATGCGAATGCAGAGCTTCTTTTCGATTTCGTTTTTGTTTTTATTTTTTGTTTTTTGTTTTTACCATTTTAGAACATATTTATGTATGTATATTTTCCTAAGTTCTTATTCGATTCCGTACATTGCCGATTTCGTTAACAAGTTGCCTCTCATCCAATTGTCTAGATTCTACACTTTTGTATTTAGTTCTGTATTTTCGAAGAATTATCGTTGCAAGTCGTTGGTAATAGAATGAACTTAAAGAATTTCAAAAGTGGTTAATACATATATTGTTACTTCGGGACTTTACTGCAGCATTTTCGAGAAATTTTTTTAAATTACTTGCTCTGCACGGAGTCGTTCCTATAATTTTGTCCTTTTTTTAGGTAAACTTTAGGCTATCGGGCAAATAAATCCGGTGAGAGAACACAGCCCAACACATTAACCCAGGGACTTTACGAAGCCTCTTTGATTTAACTGGGTTAAACGCATTCCTTAAAATTCAATCAATCTATCTAATCAATTAACAATTTTCCATATATTTATTAATTTAGACAATTTGCAAATTGACTTGTTAGAATGTAACTTCTCATTAAAGACATTTGCGTTTCAACTCCTGCCTCATTCATAATGACCGGGTAAATAATCTTGAAATTACTACAGCGGAAATCTCGTAATGCGTCCTCAAAATTATTGAAGTATTCTGCGAATTTCTGATTCTAAAAACATATCTCAGTCCATCCTGCCAACTCAGTGGTTTTATCACTAAAATTAGCAAAATTAAGTTAGAGAATTAAACGTTTAGTGACCAAAATAATTTTTTAGTGTCTTTTTGAAAAGAGAACACGTTTTTAATTACTGTTGTCAGTATTAAAATGAGTAACAATAGTTTGTATTGCCTTATTTTTATTTCCTTAACTTTCTTTGCAGGTCTCTCACATATTTTGTAACTGCTGTATTCGAATAGAAAAACCTTGGTAAGCGGATTCAAATCAGGCGTTATCAGTACACACAGAGTGGCTGGGCGTATCCACACACTGCTTTGTTTTAATAAATAAATAAAATAAATAGAATTTAACTTCTTTGCGTCTCAACTCTCTCTTATGGGCTGACTATTTATTTAAATAATTTTTCTAAAATGCTGCAAAGTAACTTAGGCTGGGCTAGGGATAGTTAAAAAGGTGTTCCTGGTTCCTTTAAAATTTAAATCACGCAGTGTGTTTTTGTTTTAGCTTTCAGCACAATAAATATATATATATATATATATGCATAATATATAGTTAGGGCAGTAAAGTGTCTTAATTACAATAGAATAACAGAGTCGCTTAATATGCATACTATATTTATGCATTACCAATTTTGGGGTTTTAAGAGTAAGTTTTTTTATATATTTAATTGGAAGTAAAATACTTTGATTAGGTAAATAATTTTCTT